ATTGTGCTTCTTTGAAGCGGTTGCACAGAGATGAGCAATAAGCTCACTTTGTCGTCTGATACGCCTTTAAACTTGGCAGAAATACAAACCCTTAGGACAACAGGTTCATGACATTCTGCTTGGTTGGTAAGTATTTTATATTTAATTGCTTTTTATTTAAATAACACATGAGGTAAAAAAGGCCAGGTGGAGACACTTGCTAATTTAAAGATATCATTGTAGATACGTTACAGTTTAGAAGAAAGTCAAACAAGGAGGTTTAAACAAAGCTTAAAGATCAGTTAGATACTGTACTTCTTATAAGTTATATATACTGTAAACTTGAGTCTGCTTCAAACTAAAAACTGACTCAACATCACTGGAAAATGGTGCTCATCGCTGGAATTTAGTGCTGAGATTTCACAGAGTGGAAGTAGGAAGTGTGTTTTAAAGACAGATGAAAAGCCTCATGATTTTGGTTAACACATCTTCCCTTTTCTTGTAATCTTTTGTCTTTTGTTGTTTATTTCTTTACTTGCTTCTTTTAATATACAAACCTTTTTTAGACTTACTTTAGACAGGAAAGTGGGAGAGACAAATAAATACAAAAAAATAGATGCAAAAATATGTATAATTGAATCCATTTTCGGCATTTACTGCTTGCTATCCATTTGCATTTTCATAATCAGCCTCTTAAAAATAACCAAATAAAATATATTTATTAAAATATTGATTGTTAAATAACTTGTTTAGGTAAATTATTCAAATGTAATGACATTTTACTGGTGAATAAATACAGGTATGTAACCACAACAAACATTTATGTTGCCAAACAGTGAAAGCAAAGCCTTCCTTCATGCTCTAATGCTAATGCATTAAGATTTGCTATGGATTGTGCTGCATCATCTGTTATTCAGCATCAACTGCAGATAAATAATCCAACAATAAGACGTGTGCTGTATTCAGTTACTCACCTCCCTAAAGCCAATGCATTAACAAGCAAACAGCACAATTAATTACAAATAATGGAACAAAACAAAATAAAAATGGATTTATTGAATTTGCTCAACAAACTGGAGAATGACAATAAAATAATGTATAAATTGTCAACTAATATGCATTTAATTCACATACATATTACAGCCTATACCATTATTTTCTTTAGTAGTTTTGTGTAAATTCACTGCCATATTTTGTTTCAATACACAGACATCTTTGAAATTTTATTTTTTTAAGCACCTGGTTTACTGTACATAACGACTTCACCTTAGCATTGCAACAAGGCAACCAGTGTGAAGTCTCACTATCCTACTGTTTATGCTATAATATTATTTCCACTAGCAAAAGTGAGTAAAATGTCAGCCATAGCTGACTGTCTTAAAATAAACCTGAAAACATGCTGTTGAGAAGATGTTGGAAGCATGCGGCTTTGTTGTGCCTGCCATAGGCAACACATTGACCTAAATTATGAAGTCAATCTATAACTGTTAAGGATGTCATATTCTTACAGCAGCTCGTCTGGGCTACATGTACGAGTGAATAATTACTTTTTGCCCTATGGAGAGACTAAAGCACGTGCTTTTTTGCATCTTGAATGCTGATAAAAGAATGTTATGAATTTTTATTCTAGGGCAAAACCCCACTGCTCATCCTGATCCCTGACCCAGTTCTGCTGCAGCCAATCAGCACACAGACTCATCATAATAAAACTGTGACTCTCTTATAAATTGTAGTATTAAAACGTTTTTTTTCTTTGATTTATTTATTTGTAATTATTTTCCAATAAAATAAACAAGCCTGAGTCATCAACACCACCCCCCCCCCTTTATAAAGCAAAGCTTTATAAAGACAGAAAGGGTAAGAAACGTTTATAGTTTATGTATGAGAGCTGATGAACAAATTGTGAAACATTTGTAAAAATTACAGTTATTTAGTGATTGACTGAATGTTTTGTTAGCCCTCTTGTTGTGAAATTTTCCAAGGAGGATGTTTGAAACAAATTAGCAGTTTTGGGTTTCATAAGACTTAACGTATTGGAAGTCATAAATGTCAAAACCCTGCAATTCAATCTGAGCTGTTACACACAAGGGTTAAATTGTATCATTCCACTATGATCAGGAATAAAGGATAAGCTGCATGCATTTGTGGTTAATTTCACCTGCATTTCCTTCTTCCTTTTGTCTTTGACATCACCTCTTTAAATATTTATAAAGTCATGGCAATTTGCATTTGCAAACCTGCTGATTACACTTATTACAGCAGATGTTGACCTATATTAGCCCACAGGGCCCCTCTCACTCACTCTGAGTTCGAGGAAACGCAGTGTATACATATTACATATTGTACTCTACCGTAGGGTATAGTTTAGTCAGGTAGATTTTTAAATGTTTTTGAAAGAAGTTTTATATGCTCTTCAAGGGTGCATTTATTTAATCAAAAGTTTAAAACTGTGAGGCCAAAGCTGAATTTTTAGCAGCCATTCTCAAATCTTCATATGATCCCTCAGAAATTATTTGAATAAGCTGATTTGGTGCCAAAGAACCTTTTCTTATTATCTATTTTGAAAACCATTGTACAGCTTAACATTTTTGTGGAGAAACGTCTAGGTTACGTATGTAACCCTCGTTCCCTGAAGGACGGAACGGAGATGTTACGTCAGAACAGACTAACAAATGGGGTCTCACCCGAGAGCCCAATCTCCTTTGAGTGGTAACAGAACGAGCCAATGGTACGCTGAGTACCTTGGTCTGCGGAATTTGCATCGCGAGCTCCGCCCCGCTGTGTGGGTATATAAGGAGCAGCGTGAGCAACTCACATTCAAGTCTTCGCTGAGGAGCCGAGCCATGTGACCCAGCCATTCAGCGGAACAGCAATTGTGGCAAAGGGACGTAATGTCTCCGTCCCCTCTTTCAGGGAACGAGGGTTACATACGTAACCTAGACGTTCCCTTTCAGTCGGTCACGTTCGACGTTACGTCAGAACAGACTGACGAATGGGGTCCCTTCCAAAACGCCACAATGGCTGTCTTCCAGTGACCTGCGTAAGTGATAGCACCCTGTCGTGAAGCCAGCACGAGCGAAGGGCTATATCTAACACCGAACACACTGGGTAGCATATTCCAGCTGGAAGTATGCTAACTGGCTGCCTGCTCGTAGGAGGTCTTTCAAAGCACATATCAACCAGCGTAGCGGTGATACATATGAATTTCTGAGGTACCCAGCCCGCAGGGAGGATATGTTTCAACGTCAGAGATGGCAAGGTTGGCTTGCCAAGGGAAAGACACATGCTGCCGAGAGAGACTTACTGTGGAAATACACACGTGGGATTGCCCAAGAGGGGAACCACAACACATGGAGGCACCTTCGCCCTAGCCGAAATGATGGTAGCTACCACCTGAGGTGGCAAGGTACCTAAACCTTCCATGGACTGGCCAGAGAGGGGCTGTCGTGAGGAGTACAAGTTCGGAGAACCAGGTCCGGCTGGGCCAATAAGGTGCAACCATGAGGACCTGCTCCTCATCCTCCCTGAATTTGCACAACGTCTGTGCAAGAAGGCTCACTGGGGGAAACGCATACTTGCGCAAGCGCTGCGGCCAGCTGTGTGCCAGAGCGTCCATGCCAAGGGTGCCCTCGGTCAGGGAGTAAAACAACTGGCAGTGGGAATTGTCTGGAGAGGCAAACAGGTCTATCTGAGCATCTCCAAAGCGTTCTCAAATCAGCTGAACCGACTGGGGATGGAGTCTCCATTCCCCGGAGCGAGACTGCTGTCGTGAGAGCTCGTCGGCTGCACGATTGAGCCTGCCCGGGATGTGAACGGCACGAAGCGACCTCAGATACTTCTGACTCCAAAGGAGGTGGCGAGTTGCGACATGCGACGGGAGCGCAGACCACCTTGTCGGTTGATGTACGCAACGG